CAACTAAATACATTATCCCTCTTAGTAGTTTTTTTATCTGTTCTACTTAATATGACTGGTTTAGATCTGTAATTGATGCACAGTTATTCTTAAGTGTTGAAAATTAACTGAAATGTGATCCCTGTTGAACATGGTGGTGGGAATGGGAGAGGGAAGAGATGTATAATTTGGGACATGCTCAGGCTGACTTGCCCCAAGTGGTGGAGTTGGAAGCATACCAGGGGATTCCAATTCAATCCCATCGAGGTGGCATGTACCAATGCCATCTCACTGTTCCAGGTGATCAGTTTCAGTTCACGGTTGGTCATGGTGAAGGGACTGGGAGTCAAAGGGAGCACATAGACAAGTCTAGTACCTGCTAACGCTAACCGATGGAGTAAATAAAGGGGAGAGTGATCCAACATGGGAAGTGAGATACCCAGCAGACTCATAGAATGGCAGATGTCCTAAATAGCACTCTGGCCTCAGAATCAGCCCTAAAGGCATTCGGAGCTGGCTGAAAAGCTCATGAGAGTATTTCAGGCATGGAAAGCCAAGACACTCTGGCAAAAGATCTCTGCGAGTGAGATCCCAGTGGAAAGAACAGGCCATCAAAGAAGGAGGTACCTTTCTCTGAAGGGAGGAGAGAACCTCCACTTTGACTATGACCTTGTCTAAACAAGATAAGAGTTGGAGAACTCAGAGGGCTTCCATAGCCTTGGAAACTCATGACTGGAGCATAGGGAGATTACTGATGCCATAGACAGGAGTGTCAATTAGTAAAGTCAACAACAGGAGTCACTGTGCACTTACTCCTCATGTAGGATCTCTGTCCTTAATGTGCTGTACATTGAGATTTAATGCTATAACGAGTACTCAAACAATATATTTCACTTTGTGTTTCTATGGGGGTGCAAACTGTTGAAATCCTTACTTAATGCATACTAAACTGATCCTCTGTAAAAAAAAAAAAAAAAAAGAAAAGAAAGAAAGAAATTATCAATTCCCAACTTGACTCTCACTGGGATTAAACATGACAATAGGTCTGCTCTGATTTCATCATCATTTAAAAAAATCATCTATTATTTTTCACTTTATGTTTCTGTGTGGGAGCAAACTGTTGAAATCCATACTTAATGTATACTAAGCTGATCTTCTGTATATTAAGATAATCGAAAATGAATCTTGATGTGAATGGAAGGGGAGAGGGAGTGGGAAAGGGGAGGGTTGTGGGTGGGAGGGACGGTATGGGGGGAAAGCCATTGTAATCCATAAGTTGTACTTTGGAAATTTATATGCATTAAATAAAAGTTTAAAAAAAAAAAAGTTTAAATAGTGTGAATTACACCCTATAAAATACTTCATGGAGAAAGATTTAAAAGGTATTTGAAAGCATAGTTACATTCCTACAGTATTCTATTAAAAGATATACTTTTTACTATATGGTTTTACTGTGAGAAATTAATGTACAGCAGAGAGTTTCTTAGTTTGAGGAGGAATGAATTTCGGAAACATTACATGGGCCTTCCCTAAAGGGTGAAGTGTGCCAGCACCGGGTGTTTTCCCAAGACCCTTCTCAAGGCCCCCATAACTTCCTTATTCCGCAGGCTGTAGATGAGGGGGTTCAGGGCTGGAGTGACAATCGTGTAGAAAACAGAGATGATGTTGTCCTGTTTGGGGCTGTGAAAAGAACTGGGCAAAACGTACATGAAAGTGGCAGCTCCATAGAACATGCCCACCACTGTCAGGTGGGAAGAGCAGGTGACAAGCGCTTTCTTTTTCCCCTCATTTGTGGGCATGTGGAGCACAGTGAATAGGATGAGAGTGTAGGAGGCAACTATGGCAGCAAGAGGGGGAATCAGAAAGGTCACACCCATCACATACACCAAGAGCTCATACTTGGAGCTATCTGCACAGGCCAACTTCAGCAAGGGTGGGATCTCACAGAGAAGATGCCTGATTTTCCTGGCTTTGCAGAAGGGATAGTGCATTGTGTATATGGTATATCCTAGGGCACTCAATAAAGCCAGAATCCAGGATGTGGCTACCATGAGCCAGCAGACCCTTGGTCTCATGTAGACCATGTAGTTCAGAGGATGACAAATGGCCACATACCTGTCATAGGCCATGAAAGCCAGCAGGAGGTCCTCTGCACCACCCAGTGTCAGTGCCAGGAACATCTGCAGAGCACAGCCTTCAAAGGAGATGATGTATTCTCTGCGCAGAAAATCCACAAGGGCCTTGGGTGTGACAACTGATGTGAACAGGAGGTCCATGAGAGAGAGCTGCCCGAGCAGCTGGTACATGGGCACGTGGAGCCGGGTATCCATGGTGATGACCAGGAGCAGCAGGCTGTTGCTGATCAAGGCCAACATGTACAGGACTGTGATTGTGGCACAGAGCAGTTCAGGAAATGCACAGTCATTCAGAATCCCCACCAAGATGAAGTCACGTCCGACAGTGGAGTTCCATAGCTCCATTCTGCGTGGTGAATTCAGTTGCCTAGAATGGATGGATTCTCAATGAATGTTTGCTAAGATAGACCCTTGTTTTGTGACATCAGAAGTCTCTTCAGATGTTACAAACATGAATCCCACTGACAGCTGTTTTTGCTTCTATATATCTGAATTTCTGCCTCTTATAAATGTATTTTGATGAGATGTCCATCTAAGAAAATGGGTATCACAGCAATAGCTAAACACTATGAGGTCATTATCTGAAAATATAAATATTGCTCAAACATTGCTTAGTACATTTAAATTAAACATTTTATAAATTAAACATTTTATATCTTCAGGATTACAGAATCTCTTAATATTGAGGGAATATTCTGTTACACATGCTGTTGATTATTCATGTATCCACACAGTATAATTCTTGACTAATGACTTAAATATTCAATCAGCTGTCTGCATATGCCATTTGTATAAATAGAGAGATAATGATAATGATACATATGTGACTGGGGGATCCAAAAATATGATAATAGATGAGGACCTTCCCAGAAAGTTTGGGGCATTACTGTTTGGGAGAAATGATGTAAGGCAATGAAAGAGCATCCATTATATTCTGTAACCAGGCCACATAATCTTGTTTTGTCTAATACCTTTGATATGTACTGTCCTTTTTGTAGCTCTGCACTGGATAGAAGAGCCACAGGGATAAGGAGAATGAGATTCACTTTTGGAAAACTGCTGCTGGTGTGTAGTGCTTAGTACCAGGGAGAAGACAATAAATAGTAGGGCCTAAGATTGACAAGAGTTAATATACTACATGATGAAATCAGAAAAATAGAGTCAACTCTGAACATGCAGTTAACATTTGAGAATGAAGCACCCCGCCCTGCCAAATATTTCCCCATATCATAGCAAATATACTTTAACATTTCATTAGTTTCTGCTGGCCTCTTTTGAAATCATTAGTACTTTAACAGTTACAGGATATGAGAGCATTCAGGAGGTGAATCATCAGTTTGCATTCATCATTTGATTGGTACATTTGATTGGTCATTTTATTGGGTCTATATAGCTCACAGGTACTAAGATAGATATTGAGGTTTCCACCAAGAAACAAATAACCAGGCCTGGACTGTAGCACAGGAACTATCAGTCCAAACTGATTGTATTGTCATGTTCAGAAAACAAATAAAAGAGGAATCAGGATGGGCTAAGCAGCCCGAAGTACTAGGGAATCTGGAAGACAGAAATGTTGAAGTTCTTGGGGTCAGTTTTGGCAAAGTCCTTACTTAAGCAACGAGAAGCCCATCTTCCTGGCCACCCAGACTTTCCTTGAAGGTTGGGGGTATCCCAGCAGAAATGTGGATGGAGGACGTGTTTATCAGCAGTTTTCAGATGGTTTTAAGTTCTGCTATGTTAAACATCTGAGGAGTGCAATGGAGCTCAGCTGCCAGGGCCCTTCTATTCTTTCCAGTCATCTGAAAATCTTCTCTGGAGATGGCAGTGGATAGACATCGACAGTCAGCCCAGTCCTTGGATAGTTTTCTGCAGAACCAGAAGATGGATTTCCTGTTCTTGTACCTGTGAAGAATGAGGAGAAACAGCTTCCATCATGTTGGCTAGGATAAAAGCCCCACTGCTCTCGAGCAGTTGTCAGAAAGAGCTGTTAGACCCACATACTCAGACTTTCCCTTATTTCTGTGCATCTGGATCGAAGATGGAAGCTGCAGGATTCTGGAGGAAGCTGATATAGGAAGAGGTGCCCAGAGGTGATGCTGCCTTGCCCCTCCTCTCTGTCCCTGGAGCTAACAGTGAGCCAGGGCCTTGTCCTGGGGGAAGCTTCCCTGTTTCTAATCCCATGACCAATTCCTTCGACTCTGTTCTATTCCTATCTTCAGAAAGACTTACCCTCTCAGCTGGAATGACCTCTTCTAAAAATGCTGGTCAGGAAACAGAATGTTAATGAACCCCCTGGGATGTGTTTCCTGGCCCTAGATCCCTATACTCTTTCTTCTCTCACTAAATGAGCTCTGGGATCCTAGGGAAGCACTGATGGCCCATTTCTATTTTTTTTTTAAGATTTATTTATTTATTTGAAAGTCAGAGTTACATAGAGAGAGAGAAAGAGAGTCAAAGAGAGAGAGAAATCTTCCATCCACTGGTTCACTCCCCAGATGGCCGCAACAGCCATTGCTGTGCCAATCCAGACAGGAGCCAGGTGCTTTCTCTGGGTCTCCCATGTGGTTGCTGGGGCCCAAGGACTTGGGCCAACTTCTACTGCTTTCCCAGGTCATAGCAGAGAGCTGGATTGGAAGTGGAGCAGCTGGGACTCAAATCGGCACGTTTATGGGATACCGGCACTGCAGGCAATGGCTTTACCCGCTACGCCACAGCGCTGGCCCCTGGCCCATTTCTAAGTTACTAACTGAATAGACCAGCAAGCAAAGATTCCTTGTGCAGCCAGCCCTGCACCCCAGATCATAAGTAGATCTGGCTTCTGTGGGATGCTACTTCCCTTCTTTGTGGCCTTCTTGGTCTGGACCATTTGTAGGTCCATATGACTAATCCCTGAAAGGACAGTGAATGTGAGATCTTCTCTTTAGTGGCCTGTGGCAGCTTGTCTGTGACTGTGCATTTGTGTTGGTGTTATGTTCTTTGTCACCAGTGATGTTTGAAGAAAGCTCAATTTTCTAAGTATTGAGCAAGGAAATTATAAACAGATTCACACAGTACTGCAGTTGTAATGTACCAGTATTCATGAAAATCATATAAATGTTCCCAGGGATAAAAGCAGATTAAAAGGATAAAAGTGGGTTGTTAGTGGCAGCAGTAGGATATGGGAAAAGCAACTTAATAAGCACTGAGGAAATATAACTTCACATCTAGAAGTATGAAATAAAAACAAAACCAAAGCAACTTACCCCCAAAGACTCCCAAGAAAATGATTTCAGGGGCTAGTGCCATGGCACAGTGGGTTAATCCTCTGCCTGCGGCACCGGCATCCATATGGACTCTAGTTCTAGTCCCTGCTGCTCCTCTTCCAATCCAGCTCTCTGCTGTGGCTTGGGAAAGCAGTAGAAGATGGCCCAAATCCTTGGGCCCCTGCACCTACATGGGAGACCTGGAAGAAACACCTGGCTCCTGGCTTTGGATCGGCACAGCTCTGGCCATTGCAGCCATTTGGGGAGTGAACCAGTGGAAGGAAGACCTCTCTCTCTGTCTCTCCCTCCCACTGTCTGTAACTCTACCTCTCAAATAAATAAATAAAATCTTTTAAAAAAATGAATTCATTAGAAGAAAAGTGATGCTTAGGAATAGGTATATACTGAGCACAGTAGCTCAGAACTGATCAAAAGTGAAATTCTTCTATAAAATAATAAATAAATAGGCTATCTCTGCTACGGCAGGCACACCAGTTCTAGTCTGTCGGGCGCGGTTTCTGTCCCGTTGCCCTCTTCAAGGCAGCTCTCTGCTGTTGCCAGGGAGTGCAGTGGAAGGATGGCCCAAGTGCTTTGGGCCCTGCACCCCATGGGAGACCAGGATAAGTACCTGGCTCCTGGCTTCGGATCAGCGCGGTGCGCCAGCTGCAGCGCGCCGGCTGCAGCGGCCATTGGGGAGTAAACCAACGGCAAAGGAAGACCTTTCTCTAAGTCTCTCTCTCTCTCACTGTCCACTCTGCCTGTCCGAAAAAAAAAAAAAAAAAAAAAAAAAAAAAAAAAAAAAACACGAAAATCTCTGCTCTGGCTCTCTCACTCTACCTTTGAAATAGATGGAAATACATAAAAAAGAAACATTAAATAATGTGACAAACATGTACATGTGCTTCCCAGACCAACTTTTAAGGAAGAACTTGCTTGGAGTGCAGTCAGCAGATAGCATCCAGGTCTTGGAACCCGTCTCAGCTTCAGACAGTATGTCCCTGAAGCTTCACTCTTCTGGGGCAGTCAGTAACTCACGACCAAACTAGGTGTCATCATTCCAGAACTCCAAGCAACTGAGCCCACTTGCTACAAAGCATTAGATGCTAATTGAATGGCAACAAAAGAAGATCTGATATTAAAAGAAGTACTGCATCATTCACCACTCCCGACCCATACCCCAGCTAGTACTACCCCTAGTTAGGGGCACAAAGAGGTAGATGGGGAGTGGCAGCACTTACAGAACACAAGAGACCCACTGTACACTTTGGACAGCTGGCTGGACAGGGGCCCTTGTGTCTTAGTGCAGTTAATGACACTGTCGATTTAGTTAGCATCAGCTTCAGCAAGAACCATGTGGAGCAGGAAGAGTCCCCAAACCTCAGTGTTCAGTGAGTCAGTGAAACTTGCAGAAATGGCATGCCAGGGCCAGGAGACATACTCCGGGGATTCGTTAAAGTCCCATTTCGTGGAACAACAGTTTCAGGGGAGGTCATGTCACCTGGGAGGATGAGACCATGAAGCCTCCCTCAGGGGCAGGAGGCTGGGCACTGGCAGGCTCATGGAGCAGCTCCTCCCATTCCGCTTTCCTCAAATGCCTCCTGTGTTCTGCTTTCACCATAGCCCTCAGCAGGAGAGGAAGAAATGAAAATCTGAGCACTTGGACTCAAGAATCCAGCCAGGCCCACTCTACAGCTGTACAGACTTTCTCTAAGGAGATGAGAGACATCCCGGAGATTTGGTTCCTGTTTCCCTAGGATCCTGTTCTATGTTCTTAGCTGCCTGTCTGCATTCATCTCCATCTCCAGTGAGGACTTTCAATGCCAATGATTGGAGGTGGCTTTGAGCTCTGAACCCAGTCACAGAAATGCACACATCTACATCTGACCCTGCCAGGAAAACTGCTTCCTCTTTCTTTCCCCTTTACAAACTCTTCATCCCTTAAAGAAATCCCATGGCAAATGCGCCCATCCCAGCTGAGGTAAGGCTCTGTCTCTGTTTCAAGACAACATATGTACTTGAGAAGTCTTGAGCAAAAGTATCAAGACTTCACACTATTATGCTTCTCAGATGTCTATTTTCTTGTACTTATAGCTTTTTCACTCCAAGTTATACTCTAAGTTCCCTATATGTGTATCCGCTGTTGACAGTTGGGGTCACCTGCAATCATTCTGTACTACTGGCCAGAGCAGAGTTACTAGAATTCCTGATGCTGACCTCCTAATAAAAGTCTCAGTACTTGGTTTTGCTATACCTGGATTTTCTTGGCCTCCAGTACTACAATGTGGGTCCTCAAATCATTAATACTCAAAAGATAACTATATAATGTCAATTAAAGTTTCTTTTTCCTAAATGCTGGCTAGACACTAAGTCTAAAGCCACAGAAAAATCCAATTTAAAGTCCATAATCTTTTAAAATATTGAATTATGATGAGAAAAAATTATATTCTTTATAATGTTTGTTCCATCTTAATTGATTGTGACCATTTCTGATGAAGTACAACAATGCTCCACTATTAATCTCAGCTGCTTCGGTTTTCCAGCAAGTTGCTCTTCATCTGAAGGTCCAGTGTGTTCTCTGACATGTCTCTTAAGATGGCCTTAGCATGAAGGAACCAGTGAATGAAAAGGAGAGAAAACAAGTCTTGATCAGAGGGAGATGGCTAGTAGATAACATCTTGAGTACTGGTTGCATCACTTAACCCAAGTTTTGCTTTGTCTCCTTTTTGAAAGCCAGTTCAAATTCATTCCTCTAGAGATCTAGAAGAATGCATCCAGTTAGTTGTCTTCCTTCGTTAATTTCTCTGTCCATTAAACTTCTTATTCATCAAAAAGAAAAATATTCCAAGTCTAATATTTATTAGGAAAAGTACTAGGAATTGTCTTTGAACTTGTCTTTTTGTTGTCAATAGGCAAAACCATCTTTTGTGAGGCAAAGGAAAGATTCCAGGTCCCAAAGGATGATGAGAAACCTTTAAGGAGAGTTTTTTGTCCAGATTTCATTGTTGCAGATGTAAAGGGAAAATGTTCTTGTACTCTATGCCAGTCTTCTGACTTTCACAAAGTCATATTTTCTCTATTTATTATATAACATTGCCCTTTGTTGCACAGCCAGCTTCTATTCACCCTCTGTTCATAGCTTATGTACCACTGTGCAATCCTTTCTTGACACTTATATGGACTCACATTTCTTTCTGGTATCAGTCATCACCATTAAATGGATGTAGGTATCTTGTCATGGATTTTTTACCTGGATACAATTATCTTAGTATCAAGTATAGCACTTGATACATTGTAGGATGTTTAGTCAATCTAAAATCATTCACTATAGAATGACTTTAGTCATTCAGTCATTCAGTATAAAATGAATGAATGAATGGATGGAGATTTATCATATACAACTTTCAATATCCTACTTTTCTAATTCTACCACTTAAAGGTCCAAATTCCCAGTTGACCAAGGCAAAATCATAAATAGAATATAGGAGGAATAAGGGGGGTTGATACCAGGGAAAGGTGAAGAGTTTGGGCATAAATTCCCCTCTTCTATTCTGAGGTATCTCCTAAGTTTTCCACCCAGTTTTGAAGGAGCTATTCATAAAGAGCAGATTAATACAAGGCTGCCCCAAAAGCCCATCACTGTCTTCTCTCCTCACCTCCTTCACCAGCACTATCACATGAGTTCAGGGTTTAGCTAGACCAGCATTCTTCCTTCTGTTACTAAGAGCTGTGGGGTCAGAGAATCTCATTTTCATGCTCAAAGCATTCCTGTGACTCCCAGGTAATGATGGGGTATTGGACCATTCATATATACAATGCTTCCTCTTTCATATCTCATTATTTTATCATATGCCATGAAGACTAAACACATGCAGTACCTCTATAATCTAATGTCTTTTTTATTTCTCCCTCCAGAGTAAATATCTTATCATTACATGAACATAAGCAAACATCTTTTGTAATGTTACTTCAGATCTATCTTCAAAATCTATAGCGCATCAACCTTTCAATTCATCCCAGAATTCCATTTTCCTCTAGCTGAGTAGCACTCATAAAGACTGTGAGGTTAGTCAAAGATTACAAGAGATCAAGTGATCTAAGAGTCCACACATTCCAACAAGAGTGAGAAGTAAAGGCAAATACCAGAGAGCAAAAATCTTATAAATAAAATTTAAAAAACAAAGTAGAATCCCAGGTTGATTTTAAAGAAAACACAGAAGCTTGACTTTAGCATGCTACCCAGTGTATTTGTTTATTATGAAGAATGAGAAAATTTGACCTATCTACAAATATCTTTCCCTGTGCTTATTGTCCTGAATACTTATTTGAAGGGATTTAAAAATGAATAACTTTTAACAATGTGCCCAAAATACCTGTTCCTCATTTAGCTGATTATTTGTTATAATTCAATAAAATCATTTAGAGCTTCAGAAATTAGAGGTGAAACTTAGCTAAAGAAGAAAAATATATTACCTCAGGGAATCTCTATAGAACACATCACGGTGATGTTGGACAATCCAAAAGCTATGATAAACACTTTTGGGATGGATTTCACAGGGAAAACATCCATCCTAGGAAAATGAATTCACCACGCACAATGGAGCTATGGAACTCCACTGTCGGACGTGACTTCATCTTGGTGGGGATTCTGAATGACTGTGCATTTCCTGAACTGCTCTGTGCCACAATCACAGTCCTGTACATGTTGGCCTTGATCAGCAACAGCCTGCTGCTCCTGGTCATCACCATGGATACCCGGCTCCACGTGCCCATGTACCAGCTGCTCGGGCAGCTCTCTCTCATGGACCTCCTGTTCACATCAGTTGTCACTCCCAAGGCCCTTGTGGATTTTCTGCGCAGAGAATACATCATCTCCTTTGAAGGCTGTGCTCTGCAGATGTTCCTGGCACTGACACTGGGTAGTGCAGAGGACCTCCTACTGGCCTTCATGGCCTATGACAGGTATGTGGCCATTTGTCATCCTCTGAACTACATGGTCTACATGAGACCGAGGGTCTGCTGGTTCATGGTAGCCACATCCTGGATCCTGGCATACCTGAGTGCTCTCGGTCATACTATCTACACCATGCACTTCCCTTTCTGCATGTCTTTGGAAATCAGGCATCTTCTCTGTGAGATCCCACCCTTGCTGAAGTTGGCCTGTGCAGATAGCTCCAAGTATGAGCTCTTGGTGTATGTGACAGGTGTGACCTTCCTCTTGCTTCCCCTTACGACCATAGCTGCCTCCTACACTCTCATACTGTTCACAGTGCTCCACATGCCCACAAATGAGGGGAAGAAGAAAGCGCTTGTCACCTGCTCTTCCCACCTGACAGTGGTGGGGATGTTCTATGGAGCTGCCACTTTCATGTACGTTTTGCCCAGTTCCTTCCACAGCCCCAAACAGGACAACATCATCTCTGTTTTCTACACGATTGTCACTCCAGCCCTGAACCCCCTCATCTACAGCCTGCGGAATAAGGAAGTTATGGGGGCCTTGAGAAGGGTCCTGGGAAGATATGTGTTGCTGGCACATTCAACCCCCTAGGTCCCAGGGTGTGTTTATGGCTTGCCTCTCACTGTGGGTTGTTCCTCCAAAGAAAATTGTTACATATCCATTTTTTAAATGTTAACCTATGTCTGTGAGGATATGAACACTTTAAAAATCTCTATATATCTGCTATGTACAATGATTTTAAGCTGAACGCACTTGGCACGTATCATGCTGAGCTTGGAATATTGAAGACCATGTTCTAAAAGAGACTAAAAGAACCACGATGGGTGTCATTGATTCATTCTGTGGTAGAGCATCCTCCTGATGCACTATTAAGTAGACATGGTAGAAAATTAATGTTACAGGTCAACATCATGTAGCAGTGAGAAGCAGAGGTTTTTTGACTCAGTCAACAACAAAATCCTGTTAACATTATAGGAGGTCTGTTCTCTTTGTACTGACTCAATCTGCTAATAGAAAAAATGATACTGAGACGTTATATTGAACTTATTGAGTAGATAACAGTTTGTGTGATTAGTGGGAAGAATGATAGATTTGTACAGCATTTGTATTACAGATCTGAGAAGGGGTTCACAATGATTACATAAAGACAGACACTATGTTGAGATGGTGAAACAGACCAGAGAAAAGAAGCCTGATATTTCTACTTGAAAATATTCAAACATATGGGACTATTTTCCAATGTCTAAAATTAAAATTAAAGAAATGAATAAATTAAAATTATAAGCATCAAGCTTAATATAGTAAATAGAGATACAATAACTGGGAAATAAATCCATGATGTATGTTATGTATGTGTATGTGTACAAATATACAAATGTGTTCAGATATATAAAATAATTGCAACAGGTTCATGTTTTTGAGATTACTGTAAGTGTGAGACTATGTCCATAGGCAAGGAAGCATAAGTATTTTACTTTCTAGCTAAACTGTGTATGTTTTATTGTTAATTAGTGTGGGGAGATTTATGACAAAAACTAGAACATAAATTCATGCAGTAGAAGAACTCCAAAATACTTTGTCTTATGTAGCTATTATAATTATTAAAATTAGTGCTTTTTGAAAAAGTCAGAAACTTTTTTTCAACACAGAAATCATCTTACATTGGTTAATGTCTATATAAAGTTAAGCCATAAAATAAAATCTAAACATAATCAATACAATTAAGCTAAGTTCTTTTAAAACAAAATAAAAATGTGGAAATTTGAAAGAAGCAAAAATCACCTATACAGTTTTTGTTGCCTTTGTTTTACATATACATTTTATTGAATCTATATGTACATGAAAATGGTTTTCATTATTTAAAATTAATCTAATTGTGGGTCTGGCTTATGTAATGCCACAGAAGGTTAAGCCACTGCTTGAGATGCATGACTCGTGTCACAGTTACTTAAGTTCTGACCCAGATCTCTGCTAATGTACCTAAGAAAGCAAAGAAGGGTGGGCAAAGTGCTCAGGTTCCTACCACTTGTATAGAAAACCCCAGTGTAGTTCCTGGCTTCACCCTGACCCAGACCTAGCAGTTGCAACCATTTTGGCAGAGAACCAGCAGATGAAAGATTCTCTCTGTCGCTTTCCCTCTCCCTCTGATGCTTTGCCCTTCAAATAAATGAATAAATTAATAGATAAATAAATAAGTAAAACTTGTAAAAAAGTTAGTGATTCTTTTTTTCCTTTTTACCAAGGTATATATTAAAGTAGTGATGGAGAGGAATGGGCCAGTGTACCTGACCCAGCCATTCCACTCCTGAGAATTTGCCCAAAAGTTAAATCAGACTATAAAATAGTTGTCTGTAATCCCATGTTTATTACAGTTCTACTTACAATAGCATAGATATGGAATCAACCTAGATGTATATCAGTTGATGACTAGATAATAAAATTTTGTATATTTACATGTTAGAATGAACTTCTAAAAATTTTTTGATATTTCTAAACATATTTGTATATCTTTTTGATTACATATAAAAATAACTGTGTATTACAGTAAAACTTATGATGGCTAAGATATGGAATCAACCAACATGTATATCAACTATGACTGGACAAAGAAATTTTGGAATACTACAAAGCCATAAAAAATGAAATCCTATCTTTCAGAACAAAATGGATGTAATTGAAGACCATCAGGTTTAGTGAAATAATTCAGTCTGAAGAGATAAATATCGTGTTTTCACTTATTTATGGTAACTAACATACATAGTAAAAAATGTAATGTAAATGAGAGAAATTGACATTTTGAGATTTGATTATTGTTTGTAGCTCTTGTCCCTTGAGGAGCAGTAGTTTTTTATTACTTGATGAGTTCCTTATTTAGTGGATGGTTAAGTTTGTGATTATAAAATAAATTGAAAGTTTGTCATTCTAAAAATTAAAAAAAGAAATAAGAAAGGAAAGAGGAGAAAGGGTAGGAAAGAGGGAGGGTAGTGTGGGGAGTTTCATTACACTCAAAATTGCATATACAAAATACATGAAATGTTTCCCCTTATATAAAAAAACTGTTTTATAAAATAAGTGAAACCACACACACACACACACACACAAAGAAGATATAGACTGGCTGAATGGATTTTTAAAAAGAGCCTACAAGAAATATGCTGCATACAAGAAACACACTTCACCATAAAGATATATTCAGAGTGAGAGAATAGAAAAAGATATTCCATGCAAATGAAAATCCAAAGAGAGCAAGAATAGCTATACTCAGCAGACAAAATAGACTTTAAGAGAAAAACTGTTGAAAGAGACAAAGAAGATCACTTATATAAAAAAGCTGTTTTATAAAATAAGTGAAACCACACACACACACACACACACAAAGAAGATATAGACTGGGGGCGCCGGATTCTGTCCCGGTTGCCCCTCTTCCAGGCCAGCTCTCTGCTGTGGCCAGGGAGTGCAGTGGAGGATGGCCCAAGTGCTTGGGCCCTGCACCCCATGGGAGACCAGGAGAAGCACCTGACTCCTGCCTTCGCATCAGTGTGGTGCGCCAGCCGCAGCGCGCCAGCCGCGGCGGCCATTGGAGGGTGAACCAATGGCAAAGGAAGACCTTTCTCTCTCTATCTCTCTCTCTCACTGTCCACTCTGCCTGTCAAAAAAAAAAGATATAAACTGACTGAATGGATTTTTAAAAAGAGCCTACAAGAAATATGCTGCATACAAGAAACACACTTCATCATAAAGATACATTCAGAGTAAGAGAATGGAAAAAGGTATTCCATGCAAATGAAAATCCAAAGAGAGCAAGAATAGCTATACTCAGCAGACAAAAAAGACTTTAAGAGAAAAATTGTTGAAAGAGACAAAGAAGGTCACTATGTAATGATTAAGGGGTCAATTCAACAAAAAAGATGTGAATATAGAAAATATATATGCATCCAATGATAGGACACCCAGTTTTTTTTCTGATTTTTTAACTTCTTTTTTTAACTTTTATTTAATAAACATAAATATACAAAGTACAACTTTTGAATTATAGAGGCTTTCCCCCCCATAACTTCCCTCCCACCTGCAACCATCCCATCTGCCACTCCCTCTCCCATCCCACTCACATCAAGATTCATTTTCAATTATCTTTATACACAGAAGATCAATTTAGTATGTACTAAGTAAAGATTTCAACAGTTTGCACCCATGCAGAAACACAAAGTGTAAAGTACTATTTGAGTACTAGTTATGCCGTTAATTCACATAGTACAACATATTAAGGACAGAGATCCTACATGAGGAATAAATGCACAGGGACTCCTGTTGTTGATTTAACAATTGACACTCTTATTTATGACGTCAGTAATCACCCGAGGCTCTTGTCATGAGCTGCCAAGGCTATGGCACCAACTCTGATCTTATTTAGACAAGGCCATTGTCAAAGTGGAAGTTCTCTCCTCCCTTCAGAGAAAGGTACATCCTTCTTTGATGTCCCGTTCTTTCCGCAGGGATCCCACTCACAGAGATCTTTCATTTAGGTCATATTTTAAATTTCTGCACAATGTCTTGGCTTTCCATGCCTAAAATACTCTCATGGGATTTTAGCCAGATCCAAATGTCTTAAGGGATGATTCTGAAGCCAGAGTGTTATTTAGGATATCTGCCATTCTCTGAGTCTGCTGTGTATCCTGCTTGCCATGATGGATTGTTCTCTCCTTTTTAATCCTATCAGTTAGTATTAGCAGACACTAGTCTTGTTATGTGATCTCTTTGATTCTTAATCCTATCATTATGATCAACTGTGAACTGAAACTGATCACTTTGACTTGTGAGATGGCATTGGTACGTGCCACCTTGATGGGATTGAATTGGAATCCCCTGGCACATTTCTAACTCTACCATTAGGGGTAAGTCCGATTGAAGATGTGCTGAACTGTACATCTCCTCCCTCTCTTATTCCCACTCTTATATTTAACAGGGATCACTTTTCAGTTAAATTTAAACACCTGAGAATAATTGTATGTTAATTACAGAGTTCAACCAATGGTATTAACGAGAACAAAAAATATTAAAAGGAATAAAGTAGTAAGTTGTCCCTCAACAGTCAGGACAAGGGCTGATCAAGACACTGTTTCTCATAGTGTCCCTTTCACTTCAACAGGTTTCCTTTTAGGTGCTCAGTTAGATGTCACTTATCAGGGAGAACATATGATATTTGTCTCTTTGGGACTGGCTTATTTCACTCAGTATGATATTTTCCAGATTCCTCCATTTTGTTGCAAATGACCAGATTTCATTTATTTTACCGCTGTATAGTATTCTACAGAGTACATATCCCATAATTTCTTTATCCAGTCTACTGTTGATGGGCATTTAGGTTGGTTCCAGGTCTTAGCTATTGTGAATTGAGCTGCAATAAACATTGAGGTGCAGACAGCTCTTTGATTTGCCAATTTAATTTTCTTTGGGTAAATTCCAAGGAGTGGGATGGCTGGGTTGTATGGTAGGGTTATATTCAGGCTTCTGAGCAATCTCCAAACGGACTTCCATAGTGGCTTTAGCAGTTTGCATTCCCACCAACAGTGGGTTAGTGTCCCTTTTTCCCCACATCCTCAACAGCATCTGTTGTTGGTAGATTTTGTATGTGAGCCATTCTAACCAGGGTGAGGTGAAACCACATTGTGGTTTTGATTTGCATTTCCCTGATGGCTAGTGATCCTGAACATTTTTTCATGTGTCTGTTGGCCATTTGGATTTCCCCTTTTGAGAAATGTCTATTGAGGTCCTTGGCCCATCTCTTAAGTGGGTTGTTTGTTTTGTTTTTGTGGAGTTTCTTGATCTCTTTGTAGATTCTGGTTATTAATCCTTTGTTGGTTGCATAGTTTGCAAATATTTTTTTTTCCATTCTGTTGGTTGCCTCTTCACTTTCCTGAGTGTTTCTTTTGCAGTACAGAAACTTCTCAATTTGATGTAATCCCAATTTTTAATTTTGGCTTTGACTGCCTGTGCCTCTGGGGTCTTTTCCAAGAAATCTTTTCCTGTGCCTATATCTTGCAGGGTTTCTCTGATGTTCTCTAATAATTTGATGGTGTTGGGTCATTGATTTAGATCTTTAACCCATGTTAAGTGAATTTTTGTGTAAGGTGTAAGGTAGGGGTCTTGCTTCATGCTTCTGCACATGGAAATCCAGCTTTCCCAGCATCATTTGTTGAATGAGCACCCAGTTTTAT